TTGCGTATGACTCATTTACATAGCTATGAAAACATAGTTAAGAGTTTAGGTCCCCCCCAGCCATTATTCTTCCCAATGTATATTTTTGTTATTAGTAATACATTGTTAAAAATCCATCAAAAACTAAATCAATCAAAAGTGTAAAACCGAGGTCCTGCTTAACAGACACATGTATTACCCCCAAAGCAAGGATGTAAATTCTTTCTAGCCTGTTCTCATGTATTATTTTTTATATATTGTATTTACCATATATCAAATTTGGATCTAAAAAATGAAATGTTATAGTAATTTATATTTTATATGATTTTTATTATACACTGCTACGCCATTTATATACGCCATTTTTGCCATATATATTAAAACTTGTTTTGTATTTTATGTTGTAGTGTACTTTTGTGATGGTTTTCATGAAACTATGTAATACATCAGTCACTGTATAATTATGTAATATAGATTTCCTTGATGGCAACAATGCTTCACGTTAATACATAAGTAGACATTATGCATTTTAACATTGTTCCTACTTATGAAAACGAAAGTGAATTTAGAAAGTTACGATCTGAGAAAATCAGAAGATTGGACCTCCCACTTATCCACTCATGTTCTCTCTAAAAATAAGGCCTAGATGACTTCCGCAGCACAGAGGACTGTGTATAGTAGTGTGGGTACTTATTATTTCATTTAAGCACTGTTGTCACAGTATAACAAGGGAAAAGGTGTGTCTCCCCATGAAAGTTAGGAATCCAGAGAGGCATTAAGACTGGCATTAAGATCTTAAAGATAATATTTTTGCTTGTGGAGGTTAAAAATAAATGGCCAGCATCTGGAATGTTTGACAAAATTAAATGTTGCAAAAAAAAAAGAAGAAAATCTGTTGTCATGAAATGCAGCTTTATCTGTTTAGGAACATTTAGATAAGGTGTGTTGTACAAAAAGACAAAAATTTGGAGAAAGAAAGCACAGCGTATGTGACCGGCTGGTAACTTCTATGGAGAAGAAGGGGGTTGAGTTTTCCTAAAAAGTCGTGATGCCTAGTGTTACTCTGGTCCTTTTCCCAGGATAAATTCCCCACCAAGCTGGTGGCCATAACACAGAAGAAGCCAGAGTGGCGCACAGAGGAGGAGGTGGAACAGCTTGGCAGCATCATGAGCTGTGTCACAGTTTTTAGGCGCTACAGCAACACATTGCAGCAGCTGCTAGCCAGGGTCATCAGATATCAGCGGTGAGCCCTCATTGTCTCTTTCTCCGTGTCTGATGCGTGGTTGATTTGTTGTGTATTTTGGGCGCTTTGGCTTGCCGTAGACTGTAGGTGGTATTATGGGACAGGCAGCCATTTTGGTATTTTTTTTGGTTACTCCCAACTACTTTTTTGGTTACTCTCTGTATCCAATGATATATGATTCCATATCGGACCACACCTAAAAAATAAGACACAACACTTCATAGTATCTCTGTTTCTACTTCCCACTGATCGTACAGCCACACCACCAACCAGTATTTCCAAGCTACTATTAAGGAAACTAGAAGCTGCTACCTCAGGTCTACAAGGTCTGCTTTTAAGACAACAGTAGAATTTTTTTTTTAATGAAATAGAATTTGACAACACTTGTATCTTTGTTGTAATCTTTTGTATCTTCAACGAAGCCAATGTTTCAAGTAAGCCACCTTCTTAAGTGTTATTACAAATATGGGGTTAAGAAATAAGTGTGAGAGAGAAGTTGAAATAATTATCATAAATAATTAAGCCCCCAAATGTCAAAGATGAAGCTGAACAGTTGGCATTATTAAAAGCATGTGAGTTCTTTATTCCCTGGTTCAGCTCTTGTGAAAGAGTAATTAATCAGAGGCAATCTGAGATAAATAATTATTAACGATAACACAATTGAACAATCTACACAGTTAAATAAAACACATGCAGTATAACCTTATATACCAGTATAACTACATCAGAAAGACTACCGAAACCAAACTTATCCTGCAGCTAGGATCACACCTTCCCCCTTCTCTTAATGACAGACTACTATTCTACTAAATTTTCTCCATTCATTGGAAGTTTCATTTCACACCTTTCTACACCTATCCTGACTTCACACCTCTTGATTGGCCTCTCTTTCTGTCCCCTGCTCCCGCCCAGCCTTTGTTCTCCCACTTCATTACCTTTGCCTACTGCCTTGTCTCTCTCACACCTGAAGAAGGCTCCACGGCCGAAACGTTGTGTTCTCTTTCTTACCTATTACTTGTTCCTTTGCAGCCTACCCATGCTGACGCAGCTACCCACCTGAACTACTACAGTATTATACTATTTACAGAATTAGTCATCTCAGAGGCCTATGTTCATCAGATCCTAAAACCCAGAAGGCTCAACGTGTACCCTGAAATCCTACTGTATATAATGCCTTAACATTATATCATCCTAATTAAAAGAATACGACTCATCACTAAATCTCACTCCCTATAACAAAGAGGCCCAAAAGTGAAATGGAATCCGTCTTCCTATTCTAAAAATGCACAGATAGATAAGACTTTATTGATCCTGAAGGGAAAATTAGGTGTTACAGCAGCCCTGTCCAAGACAAGCAAAAACAGACATCAGAATAGACTAAAATTTAAAATAAGTACAGCAATACAATGTAAAATAAATAGGTGTGTGCAAAATATACTAAGAGTCACTGTAAAACAATAAAATATGTGCAAAATGTGCATAGGTATATACCGATTGAAAGTACCACCAACCAGCATCAGCAGCTAGAGATCGTCTTTAGCCTAAGGATTCTACAATAAAGGAAATCAAACTTTCCTTAAAAGGCAAACTCCCTTAAGCAAGGTTTAAATCACTTAGCAAGAATGTGGTTTCCAAGACTGATTGGAACAAGGTCCTTGCAGCCTGCACGTTTCATCTCTTTTCCCCTTCCTCTTCTATTTTATCTTCCTCTCTCTGTTTCTTGTTTCATTTTATGCTGTGTGCCTGTGTGTTAAAAAAGACACACAGGATTCCATTTAATCCTGTGTCTCTCAGGTCTATAAACACCTTGGCTTCCGCTCATCGTTTTTTTAGACGCTAAGAACTGCAAACGTTGACCATTGAAAGAAAATGTTTACATACTTTATTCTGGCTTATGATAATTTTCAATGTACTCTCTTGGTTGTTAGATCCACAGTGTTTTCGGTTCTGTAGATAACTTTAAATTATCAATGGTATTGACCACTAGGTTGTTTAATACATGTCGGGGATCTCAAAGGGAATGACAAAGGGAAGCTACCAAACTTCCTGGGATCTGCAGTTGGTTACCACTGACTGAGATACCACACCAGATAATAACAGAATGAGTGCAGAGCATTAATAGACCTTATTATGTAACAAAATTAGTACCAGATGAGATTCCTGTGGAAAGATTAACAGAACTCATTAAATGAAACCCTAATTAAAGTGGTGAAACTGGACCTCAATTATATCATACAGTACTTCAAGTATATATTTTGTCTGCTCCTGCACATTTTGTTTTTTTTCCATAGTAACAGACTGTGTTTTCAAAGGCTCATAATTATATTTAAGAAACTCAGAAACTGTCTTTATAATCACGAAAAATATAATGATTAAACCCCCACAGGCACTCTGAAACCTTATTTACAGTAGTTTTCATAAGGAATATTAGCAGGATAAATCTGATCTTTTATTGCCCTGTAGCTTTGATGATGTAAGTGCTGGTACTAACTTGAAAAAAAAAACATATTTGTAGCTTCTCGCATTGTTCGGTTGTATAAGCTTTTCAATCTGTTGGTTAAAAATGACCACATTTCCAGGATTTTTAGGATTAGTATGAGAGAGCTGTGCAATGTCACTGTTAAAATTATGTTATTATTTGGGATGTCCAGGCTTTTGGTGAATTTGATAGGCCTGAATATCTACTTAATTCAGTAATGTAGGTGAAATATTTCTTCATAGGTGTGTGCACCACATATTTAAATCTCTACAGTGTTATTGCTGCCTGCCTATACTGATTATAAACCTTGAGGCAGTGTCTGATGGGTTGCCGGACAAGAAATGTTGTATTATGTAACTTTCATTTTTTACGCAAAAGCTTTGAATTTCTAATATGTATGGGTAATTTGCATTTCCCCTTTGTTTCCATGAATTATGTTCAATTTCGTAATACAAATATGCCACCTTAGTTAACATTTCCTGTGTACATTGTTGTCACGGACGTCCAAAGGAACTAACCGTGGAGAGCAGGAGTGCGGAAAAAGACCCATATGCGTAGCGGCGGAACGGGAAAAAGCCCCGGGCTGGTTAGTGCAAAGAGTTCAGGAATGCCGTATAGAAACCTATGCCCTCAGGTAGCGGATGTGGGGCGACCTGGTGCTAGTCGGGTCTCATGACATCCAAACGTCAATGCTGAGCGAGGGCAGAGTGCAAGACCCGGAAGTATATAGCCGAAGGGAAAGAGACGGACCAGAAGGCCAGCCAGGCAGGAAACTAGGGACAGGACAGAGTAGGAGCGCCCTCTGGCTGCAGATGGCGTGACAATTGCAGTGCAGTAATTTAATTCTTTCTATTATCATGGAGCGAAGCAGG